TTTGCATCCCAAGGCAGCTCCTGCAGCCTCTCCTAGAAGCTCTGCTCTCAGGCACAGCTCAGGTCCTCCCGGGAACTGGTCTGTGTTTCTAAGGCCTGAGTGGGCCCAACCTCTGCTGACTGGGGGGATGAATGGCAGGCTACTGCCTGAAGGTCCAAAGAGACTCAAGCGATGCCCGAAGCCACGTTGGGACAGCCTAGCTGTCCACACAGGACTTGGCGCTGTCCTGTGGGAGATGCCAGGGCCCACTCTTCTATGTGCTTACTTCTAGGGAGGAAGCACACAGTAGCCTCTGTAACCTGTCTCACCCCTACCCATCCCCCACTTTCAAGTCTCACACTGACAGGAAAACAGGCTCTATACCAGCTTTCACAAGGATGGGAACATACATATTGAACATCAATTAAATTCAAGATTATTGAGAACCTGCTATGTGCCAGACATGATGGACAACACCAAATCCCCTCACCCTCTCACACAGCCACCACTCAGAGAAATACACAGACTCACACACACGTTCACACTTGCACACATTAACACAGCAGACCCTCCACCCATTTTCAGACCCATCCTCAGGGTCTGAAACCATAACACAAACACATCCTCAGACACTCTCTCCCCCACTGATATATCTGGGAGATGCCTACACAAATGAACCCTTCCTCATGTCTGTGCCCACACACACACACATACACATCACACTTCTCCATGGAAGCACACAAACCCACAGCCACACACCAGTGCCCTGGCCAAGCAACCAGTCCCTGCACGTTGACCTGCTGGAGCAAGATCCAGCTGGGCAGCATGGATTGCTGGGAAGGCCTTGACACCTGGCTGCTTGATCCCAGAGAATGAGATGACCCCAGGCCGAGGTGGCAGCTGGTGAGGGATGCCACCCCAGGCACTCTCTCAGCCAGCCCAGGTGGGATCTCAGGAGCTTGCCTGGAGTTTCCACCTGCCAGAAGGGGTTGGGGTGCTAGTCCCAGTCATTATTCTGGAAAATGAATCCCAGCATAGGGGTGCTACTAGTTGCAACTTCCCTCTTTCCCTCTCTCCTGGAAAGCTAACCATGAAAATATTTAAACAGAGAGAGGGATACTACGTGGAAGTTCTGAAAATAAATTTGGAAGCTCTTTACCTACTGCATAAATCTATCAAAGCCAGTCTTCAGCTCCTTACCTGGCAAGACCCAGCATCTGTCCTGATCAGTGAATGGCTGCTACAAGGGACATTTCCACAGATACTGCTCAGCAATCACAGCCCCTCCCTGTCAGCATCCTCACTGAATAGGATTCTCAGTGGCTGGTCACCTCTGCCACCCTCCATCCTCCTCACCCTGTAGCAGTTGTGGAAGCCACCAGTTTTGCTCCAGCCACCTAATGTGACCAAGTGACTGGAAGCACCCGATCTTCCTTTCTGACCCCGACTGCGTTTGCTACAAGACACCCTTCATTTGTTCCCAACTAGGTCTCATGGGACCCTTTAGGGTGAAAGCCCAAAAAGAAATAAAATCCAGCCCTCAGGCAGCTGACTAGACCAGAGAAAGGAAATCTGCTTGGGGTCATTAAAGCCTCAGGCTACAGGGGGCAGAGGGGAGTACGTGGAGCTTGCAGTGTGTCTCTGTCTGTCTCCTCCCTACCCCCACGCCGACGCCCTGCTGACCCTCCCCCGGACTGAGTCTGGACCCTCAAATCCCTACCCCAAATCGCACCTTGAGGGAGTGGTCCCTGCCTGGGGAGCAGGTGGTGACTCCCGTCTCACCAGGAAAAGTTAAACAGAGCCAGAGAGATTTGGTGAGAGAACACGGGGCTACTCAACTTTTGGTTATCTTTAGTCGTTCGTTGTAATAAATTTCAGCCAATGAAAAAGGGCAGGGACCCGCATCCTGGGAATTCGGCCCCCACACCCCACTAGGGCCCATCTTCTGCCGAAATCCACCGGGGTGCTGGGAGAGAAGTAAATATTTTTCGAGGGAAAGTTGAAGAAGGATGGAGGAGGAGAGGACTTTGGACCGGCCCCTTCCTTTTTCATCGCGTTACCATCCTAGCACTAAGACATCAGTCCTTTGGGCACTCAAAGCTGCCTAGGAAACGCTGGAGGGGCAGGGAGACTCATTGGATGGAGATGTACTGGGGATGTGAGCTGGTGTGAGAGAAAACGCGTGCACCGCGAGGGGGTGAAGAAAAACGCCCCATGAACGCTGAGGGGACCGACCTGCAGCTCGGGAAGGTGGCTGTCCTTTAGTGCACAGGTGTGAGGGTAAGCCCAGAAGCCCAGGAGCCCACCGGGCGTCCGACGGAGTGGGGGAAAGTCTAGCTAAGGCTCAGAGCTCCTGCACCTAAATGAAGGCGCTGGGGCTAGAAAAGGACCCCCTCTCCATTCCTGCCACCGGAACCCACCCCAGCGCGGGTTGGTGCTCATTCCTGGAGCCATTGCCTGAGGCCAGCTGGTGAGCAGGTACGGAAAGAGGAACTCCCGGTCGCGGTGGTCGGGGACCAGGCAACGGGGCCGAGATTGGTCCTGGGAGACCTCGAGTCCAGGTGTCAGGGTCGAGGTTCCGAGCGACCTCGCGGGAGTCTCATTTGGAAACTCCGCGGGTGCCTGTGCGGCTGGAACTCGGAAATGGTTTCTCCTGGGCTGCAGGGTGGAATCGGAGTGCGGAGAGGCAGACGGGGTGCCCTCCGATGGGGTGTCTTCCGCCATTTCCCCACAATCTCGGCGGCAGGGCAGCTCCCTCGCCTGGGTAGGTGTCCGCCCCAGGCAGCCCAGCAGAGGAGAAAGTCTCCGCAACACCGCTGGGGATGGGTCCGAAGAAGGCCTGCCGCCTCGCCTGACCCGAGACATGTCCCTAGCTGCCCTAGAGGGCTCTTTCTTGGAAGGACTCACAAATCGGAGAGGCCGGCACAAGGGCGGATGTGAGGCTAAATCCAGAGCTCGCAGCGGCCCAGCCTACCCTGGGTACCAAGCGCGTCCCCTCCCTCCCTCCCTCCCTAAGTCCCGGGGACCGACCTCGTCGCAGGCCGGCTCCTGGAGGGATCCAGGGCTCCGCCTGCTCTGGGCAACCTAGGCCTCGGAAGACCAACGGGCCGCAACCCCCACCTGCCCCGGCGGGAGCGGCTTTCTTTTCCAGGCGTGGAAACCAGCGTACTGCTCCGGTCAATGCAAGACTCTGAGCACTGAGGGCAGGGGAGCTTGGAGCCCTACGACTAGTCAGCCCGATTCCCTTCCGCCCGCTAAGCCCGGGGGCTGGTGGTGAGACAGAGAGGTCTGGGAGCCAGGATGATTGAGCCGCCCCGCGTGCGACAAAGTCATCTGCAACTCTCATTCTTGGTAGCCGTTAGGCGCAGAAGACTCCACACTCCCGGTCCAGGGCCCCCAGGCCCATGCCCGGGATTCTGTAGTTAGCTGTCTCTGCTGCTCCAGCCTGGGAGTCAGACTGAAGCTACCTGAGGTCGTATAAAGAGTCACTGGTCTATGGGGGAGGAGGGTAAGAGCAGCGACAGGGCGGACCTTTCAGAGCTGCCTGCCCTCGATTTCCTTCCTCCAGGGCTTTTCCAATAACTCAGGTCTGTCCGCCCAGCAAGGCGCTCAAAAGCTCATTGTCAGCAGGAATTATCCCAGTAACTTGCATGGGCCATCGAGACTCTGCTCATTGGTGACTTCTGGACCCCCAGAGTAACCAATTATAACTACCATTTCTTTCTGTCTGTCTTATTAGGGATAGGGTCTTGCTCTATTGCCAAAGCTGAGGTGCAGTGGTGAGATCATAGCTCACTCGAACTCCTGGGCTCAAATGATCCTCCGTGCCTCAGTCTCCCCAGTAGCTAGGACTGCTGATGCCAGAGCATGCTTGGCTAATTTTTTTAGTTTTTGTAGAGATAAGGTCTTCTTACACTGCCTAGCCTGGTCTTGAACTCCTGGGCTCAAACGATCCTCCCGCCTCCGCCTTCCAAAGTGCTGGGATTATGAGGGTCAGACACTGCACCCAGCCTGTAACTACCATTTCTTGAACATATACTATGTGCATTGAGCACTTTAGACACCTGGTATCTGTTTAATTCTCACAGAGAACATACAAAGAAATTATTATTACCAGTATAAGAAATGAGGGTGCCAGGTTCGGGAACTCGCTGGAGTTTCAAATTAATTACAGCAGCAGGACGAGCATTTGAACTCACTTCCAGAGTTTGCAACACACTTTCTTCCCAGCACGCCGACTGCCTGTGAGTGAGCCCAGTGCCTGAGATTAAAGCCCCACCTGGTTCAGGAGCTCAGGTAGCAGGGGCAGGTGTGGTGATTCCTACCCAGGTGGGCGGGGAGGTGGGGGGTTGGGACAGCTCCTAGATGTGGGGAGAGAACACCGGGCTACTCAATCCTCAGTTATTCCTACTCCTTGCAGGAAATACAATCTTGGCCAAAGAAAAAGGCAGGAACCAGCAGCTCTGGGGACATGTTCCTGGAGACCAAGTGGTGGTAACGGAACTCGCAGCCTCAGTGACTAGCTTTAAATAGCTTAAATCCCGTGAAAGAGTTTATATCCTCAACAATTCACAAAATAACTGTTTCCTCACTTGCCCTCTACTGTGTAGACACGACTCACCGTCCAGTAGCCCAGAAGGGGTTTCTACCAGGCCGGCTATTCCAGAGTAAAGGTGGAATTGTGGAACTGCAGGCTCAGCCCGCTGCTGTCTCCCTCTCTGCCCTCCTTCTGCGACCCCCACCTGGTCTCAGCCACTCAGCTCAGGAGATGAGGCTGAGACTGATACAAGGACCCTGAGGGCTGAGACATTAGTCCTTGTGGGATGTCCCCCTCTCCCCACCCCACCCCATTAATTCCACACTGGTGGGTTGGGGGCAAAGTCTGGAGACCAGTATATTAAAGCATCATTCCAGTCACTCTGATTTACCACTGCTGAGCAAGGAGGCCAGGGAGGGAGGGGGATCCCAGACCCTGCTCTCTAAAGACCAGAACAGAACTCACCATCCCTGCTCCCCCACCCTCACACAGGCTCCACTGGAAGCTCGTCTTCTCCACCTGCAGAGATATTGGCGGTACAAGCTCTCTGATTTCACCAGAGCTAGGTGATTCTATCAGTTTTTAGATAAAGTGTATGAAATAGGCTATTGTCCTGAGGCAAAGCTTTTGGTGACCCTGGAAAGCCACCATGAACTGATGAAGGAGGTCACCCATCCAAGCCTAGGGAAGTGAGCTAAACTTAAGGGTGAAGCTAAACTTAAGGAAATAAACCAGCTGTATGAATCATTCCTCCCATTTCCTTCCTGGCCCTGATGGGGTGAGGGAGGTGGCCAGGGGGAATTAGAAAAGTAGAGAAGGTGAAGCTGAATCATTTCTAAAAGTGAAGTAATATGAATAACTCCTAGCATTCTTTATATGGTACTTTGCAGAATGTCAGTGGTTTCACAAAATTCTCATTGCTTAATATTCACAATTACAAGGCCGGGCACGGTGGCTCAAGCCTGTAATCCCAGCACTTTGGGAGGCCGAGGCGGGTGGATCACGAGGTCAAGAGATCGAGACCATCCTGGTCAACATGGTGAAACCCCGTCTCTACTAAAAATACAAAAAATTAGCTGGGCATGGTGGCACGTGCCTGTAATCCCAGCGACTCAGGAGGCTGAGGCAGGAGAATTGCCTGAACTCGGGAGGCGGAGGTTGCGGTGAGCCGAGATCGTGCCATTGCACTCCAGCCTGGGTAACAAGAGCGAAACTCCGTCTCAAAAAAAAAAAAAAAATATTCACAATTACATAGGCAGGCAGGAAAGTAATTCTGTTCCACGTTTGGCAGATGAGAAACTGAGGCTCAAGATATTATGTGTGGCTCTCCTAAGGTCCCAGAGCTAATGGAGGATCTTGCCTCTGCACTCTTGTTGAGGTGACTTGTTGAGTTTTCGGGAAAGAGCAGATACCAAACCAGCCCAAAGAATAAAGATTGCCTCCCTGGGATTGGGGGAAGGATGTGGAGAGATGGCAGCCATCACGGAGGTCTAGATGATGCCACAGAGACTTAAAGTAAAAGTACCTCAAAATCAGAACAATCTGCCTCTGAAATAACTAAAAGGAATGCCTAAGGCCACTTCCATACAAGGAAAGCCTGGGGAAGTGGACAGAACTGAAAACCAGAGCTTTGTTCTGTCATTGAACTTGGGACCTGTCAGTGAAAGCTCTCAGCCAATGATCTGGGAGCCAGATATGTTCTTAAATGGTGGAAGTTTTGTAACTGGAGAAAATGACAAGAGCCTTAAGGCTTTTGTTTGCTCTGAAAGCCTACACCCTGATGTCAGTCTGGAGTCTTAGGTGTAGAAGTCAAGAATCACTTTTTTTTTTTTCTTTTTTTTAAATGGAGTCTCACTCTGTTGCCCAAGCTGGAATGCAGTGACACAATCTTGGCTCACTGCAACCTCTGCCTCCTGAGTTCAAGCAATTCTCCTCCCTCAGACTCCCGAGTACCTGGGATTATAGGCATGTGCCACCACAACCAGCTAACGTTTGTATTGAAAAAACCGTAGGACTGGTCAGCCCGATTCCCTTCGGCCTGCTGAGCGTGAGGCCTGGTGGTGGGACAGAGAGGACTGGGAGCCAGGATGATTGATCCGCCTGGCGGCCGACAAAGCCATCTGCAACTCTGTCATTCCTGGTAGCCGTTAGGCGCAGAAGACTCCACCACTCCCAGTCCAGGGCCCCCAGGCCCACGCCCGGGATTCTGTAGTTAGCTGTCTCGGCTGCTCCAGCCCGTGAGTCAGACCAGCATGGTTGAAACCAGCATGGGGTTTCACCATGTTGGCCAGGCTGGTCTCAAAGTCCCCGACCTCAGGTGATCCGCCCGCCTCCACCTCCCAGAGTGCTGGGGTTACAGGTGTGAGTCATGGCGACTGGCCTGATAATCACTTAGCAATTTATTTATTATTCCTTAAAGGAGTAAGTAAACCAATTGCTCTGAAGGCAAATAATATTCAATGGGAAGAAATGGGAAGAGGATTAGGAACAAGGAATGAGTAAAGACAAGAGAGATACAAAGAGTGAAGGAGGTGAGAGTCCGGGGTATCTGGAGCCAAGACACAAACTTGGAGTCAAAGAGGCGTCGGCTGGTAGCACCTTCCTCCAGGAAGAAGACGAGGCAGGAGACAGGAAAGGCACAAACATGTAGCACCATGTCACCCAGAGGCAACGAAGATGTGTGTTGGGCACCAAACCAGAGAGCAGAAAAGACTGAAATCCCACCACACCTGGTAGTGTGTCAGCAAAAACCCTACCTCAAACTCAAAATCTACCCAACGCAGGTCAGCCTCCAACCCAGATGGAGCTGAGGCAAAGGACAGGAAAAGAGACTCCATAAGATGTCACTGTAACAAACAAATTCCAAAACATAAGCTGCTTTCTCACCCACCCAACAGTTCCATAGGAGTGTTTCCAGTCAGCAGGTGGTTTCCCACAGGGAGATTCAAGGACCCAGGCTCTTTTGTCAAATGGTTCTATCCTCACCTATGACCTTAGAATCCTTTGCACTTAGGTGCTGGATAGTAAGGAGTGTGGAGGACAGGCACAGGAGGTGCGAGGTGGGGGCTGGTGTAGAAGTGGTACTTTTTTTTTTTCTTTTTATAAAAAATCAACTCTATTAAACATTCAGGGTCGATTTCTCTTCTTGCTCCTCCTGTGACCTTAGCTGGTGTGAGGAATGGAGCTGCTGGCTGGTACACAGTGGAGGAGGTCTTGATGTAGTACAGACCAACCATGGAGAAGATGAAGCAGACTCGGTGGATGAGGCCAGACGCAAAGACAGCTAACAGGAGGCACAGGAGCATCTCAGAGAAGATCTTTACTTGGGATCCTTTGCCAAAGATAAGATTCTCCAGAACCTTGAATGCAGTGAGGGAGAACACGAAGAGACCTGAGCCAAGCAGTGCACCCTGGATGATAAGCCACTCGGTGGATGCCAGCTGATGGCTGTACATCTGCATCCCAGCAAAGAGCAGCAGGGACAGGAGGGAGGAGATTGCTAGTGCGGTGCCTATACCCACCACCATCATGCCGCACCCCTGAGTCAAATTGGCACCTCTGGCCAAGGAAAGGGCACTTTTACTTTTATTCTATTGGCTGGAGCTTAGTCACATGACCAACCAACTGCAAGGGAAGCTGGGAAATGAAACTACCTGTGTGACCAGGGAAAAAAATCCAGGAAAAGTATTTACTGAGTGTGTATGAAATGTGAGTCAGTTCTCAGTGATTTTAGAACAGAAAGCAACTGTGCTCTGTAAATTTCCTTTTTCTGTGCATGCGTACTTATCGGCATTTCTGTTTTACTATCATGGTGTTTGCGTAGTGTTTTGGGGATTGTATTTTTTTTGTCTTGTTTTTGGGTGGGTTTTTCTTTTCTTATCTTGTTTTTTCTGTAGTGGAGAATGCATGTAGAGGTACTGCATGAGATCCAATTCCCACAAGTGACCACAAGTTATTTCATTTCCTCATTGTTGCATAGTATAATAATTTGGGCAAGTTGCAGCTGGAAGTAATTTTTTTTTAAACCCAAATGAGAGGTCTCAAGCAAAATAGATGATTATTTCTCCCACACATTAAAGTCTAGGTAGGCAATCTAGGTTTGGTGCAAAGTCAAGCTCCTCCTACTTAGGCTCCACTGTGCATAACCTCAATCTCATGCCCCAAGATGGCACTAGAAAGGACTGAAGAAAAATATAAAGTCATATGCATTCTGTTTCTTAAGTGAGATTCCTAGAAGCTGCTACACAACATGCCATTGTCCAGAACCTTGCCACAGGACCACATGCGCTTCCAGCAAGACTGTGAAATATGGGCTTTATTCGGGTCAACCGTGTATTAATACAACTAAAATCCAGCAGTTCTATTGCTGAAGAAGGAAAGAACATTGTGTCAGAACTCAGTGGGAATTGAACTTGGTTATCTCCAAGGACCTTTATTGATGTTCTGAGTTTCTATCAAACCAATAACAACAACAACCGAAACAACAGCAAATTGTAAATAAGAAAAGTTGCTTTTGAAAAGCAGCACTACAGCGATTTGTTAACAACCACCCATGGCTAATTTATTTGTAAAGTTTAAGATTACATCACTAAGAATATCCCCAAAAATATATAATGTAGTTTCAGAATTCTATCCACTGAATTTCCTTAGAGTAGGACAATTGTTAATTATTTTCCCATGCATTCATGTGACAATGTTTTCTGCAAATGTGGAGAACTATTGGGGGAATCTATAACCTCTTTCATTGACAATAAAATAGTAATGTCTGCAGAAAAAGTTCTGTAACTAGCTGTGCAACCATGGAAGAATCACCCCGCTCCTTCATTCATTTATTCATCCTTTCCCTTGTTCATCTATCCCATAATTTAATAAATATTTTCTAAGTACCTGTCTGCTCAGTACCAGATATGAGGATATAAACATAATTTTTACATCTTCATTGGAAACAACTGTAGCCTGGCATGTGGCTGACCAACTACATGACTTTTCCCAGCCTCTTTTGCTGTTAAGTGTGGCCCTAGGACCATGTTTTCTCTAAAGAAATGTGAATGGACACAATGTGGGCCACTTCAAGACCCAGCCCATAAGATCTCCCACCTGTGCTTTCCCATACTCTTTTTCCCTTTCCATTTCCTTGTTGAATCACAAAAACCAGAGTCACCTTGAAAGTCATGCTTTGAAAATGGCAGTGCTATCATTAACCTGGGTCCCTAAATTACCACATGGAGTAGAGCACTGAGTGACCCCTCCCGCAGCCTGGGACAGCTGCCCCAGGTGAAGGAAGAGACAAACTTGGTAAGTATAGAGATTCTAAATTTCTAAGTGGTATCTGAAAGATGTGTTTTTGTGTTTAAACCAACATGTTTTGGGATCTATTTGCTATAGCAATTTAGTCTAATTCAATTCCAGGGTATCACTAACCCCAATAGGCATCATTCACACTGTGCATTATCTGCCCCTGGAGCACAACAGCCAAATTAATAAACTAGATAAATGTGATGAGCATTCCAGGCAGAGAATCTCCAGTGTAGATAGATGACTGGGTCTGTGTCCTCATTGATGCAGTGGAAAGGCATCCTTTCCAATTCTAACGTGTGATTCTCTGGGACAGACCACAGCAGGCAGCAGAGAACTCTAAAAGAGTAAACTCTTCTGGAACCAATGCATTCAATGAGAATGTTCTTTCCCTGGAAGCCAGAGAGGGCAGCAGCCTGTCAAAGAGTCCTAAGAATTCTTTTGTTATGATCTGTGGGAATGGATGTGGGCAGAAAGGAAGTGGGTATAGGGAGAGATCAACTGAGGCCAACACTTAAGGCTAATGGAGAAGATGAAATTCTGATTTATTCACACAGTGCAACCTGCATACATCTCCCAGCTTTATCTCATGGAGAGAGCACTAAATGGAGAATCAGGAGGTCTGGAATTTTACCTCTATCTTCTTCACCTTCCTGTACAACCTTAAGCAAGTCAGCAAACTCTGTGAACTTCAGTTCCCTGACAATAATGGGAAAGAGGACTATCCATAGCCTCTTATTTCATAGATGTGACAGAGGAAATATGATCAGCATGGAAAGCAACCTGAAATCTTTGGAAGAAAGACCTTGGGAATGATCACATGGATAAAGGCATTGGTCCTTTAGAAGTCACATAAAGTTGAAAAGTACTCACACTAACACACTAAATGCTGGGATGGAAGGTAATTTGTTAAACCTACTGTCTTTGAGCTGCTGTGCTGGGGTTTTAAAATGAGTTTTTTGGGGAAAACCCTCCAGTTTAATGGCAGTGAAAATAGCAGAATAAGGAACTCCAAAAGCCCACCCTTCCATAAAGGCGATTTCTTAAAAATTGGCAAAAACTATTAGAATCAACCTTTGTAAAACTCTGGAAACTAGCTAAAAGCTTGCAGCAACCCAGGGTGCACTCATTCGAGAAGCCAGCTGAATCTCAGTAAGGACAAAGAGCTTTGTGGCATTTTGACTTACCCCTAGTCCCATCCCACACTCACCATCTTAGCAGTAGAATTGAAAACAACAGCCCACATCTTCAGAACCAATATAGGAGGGAGAAAATGGACCACATTTACAAATTGTCCTTAGTTCATAGTCGTGGCTCCCAGAAGTCCTGTTGAAAAGATTTGTCTTTATCTTGCCAGCCTGACTTAAAAGTTGCCTTCTGCCAAATTCACCACCAAGGGTCATTTATCAAAAACATTTACAGGCAAATGTTTTAGTCTCTGCTGTTGGAGTCAATGGATAAAAGTTGGGCACACAATAGATTAACCCAAAATCTTGGGAGGAAATGCTAGAGAGTGAGATGCTTTGGGAAATAAGAGCTTTGTAAAGATTCAATATATTCTTGGGAATCTAGAAGACGACATGCATACCCAAGGTTGTGTACATGCCCAGGTAAGACCTGAGGAGGTTCTAAGGTCTTATCTCTGGTTGACCTTGAGGCTAGCAACAAGCAGAATGTAAAGGCAGAGTTGTAAAATCCCTGGCTGAATGTTGAAGACATGCCTAACCTACACACTTAATCCTTCTGCAAAGACTGGGTGTTTTTGTTGTTGTCATTGTTCCAAGTGTTTAAGGAAATCTCTGTCTAATGAGCTGACTGCTAAGCTAATGGAACAGAGACTTCAGTGGCCATGCATGACGAAGAATACAGACTTTACTAAATTGGTTTAGAAAAGTCACTAAGCAAACAGCAACAATAGCAAATGCTAGAGAGGAGGTAAAATCTGATTTTCAGCGTTGTCACATATTATTCAAAGTATCCAGTTTTAGCTAAAAAAAAATTATGAGGCATGCAAAGAAATAAGAAAAATTTCCCACACACAGAGACAAATGAAATCAATAGAAACTGACCCTGAAGAAGCCCACACGTTGGACTTACTAGATAAGGACTTTGAGATCAGTTCAAAGAACTAAAGGAAACTGTTTAAAGACCCAAAGGAGGCCAGGCACAGTGGCTCATGCCTGTAATCCCAGCATTTTGGGAGAATTGCTTGAACCCAAGAGTTTGAGACCAGTTTGGGCAACATAGTGAGGTCTCATCTCTATGAAAATAAGTAGCTGAATAAATAAAATTTTTAAAAGAACTAAAGGAAAGCATGAGAATGATATATCACCAAAATAGAAAATACCAATAAAGAAATAGAAACTATAAAAAGGAACCAAATCAAAATTCTGGAGTTGAAAAGTACAGTAACTGAAAAATTTTACTAGAGGAGTACAGAAGAAGATTTGATATGGCAGACAAAAGAATGGGCAAACTTGAAGATAGGTCAGTTGAGATTATTTACTCTCAGCAACAGAAAGAAAACAGAATGAAGAAAAATGAACAGAACCTATGAGATCTGTAGGACATCATCAAGCATACCAACATAATCATAATAATGGCCCCAGAAAAATAGAAGAGAAAGAAAGGGACAGAACGAACATTTGTTGAAATAATGAACAAAAACTTTCCAAATTTGGTGAAAAGCATAAATCTACATATCCAAGAGACTCAATGAATTCCAAGCAGGAAAACCTCAAAGAGATCCATGATGACACACATTATAATCAAGGTGTTGCAAGATAGAGAATCTTGAAAACATCAACAAAGAAGCAATTCATCAAGTACAAGGGACCCTCAATAAAATTAACATCTGATTTCTGATCAGAAACCATGGAAGCCAAAAGACAGTAGGATGACATATTCAAAGTGCTGGAAAAAAGAAAAATAAACATTTCTCAACTGAGATTCTACATCTGACAAAACCATCCTTCAGAAATGAAGGAGAAATTAGACATTCCCAGATAAAGTGAGTTTTGCTGCCTGACAGTATTCTCAAGTGCTACCAAATGAGCCTCCAGTTTACACTGAATACTATTTTACAAAACCATGACTCTCCCACCAGGATGGGAAAAGGCCATGGGCCTCAGTTTGGTCATTGTTCTGAGCTGCCCATTAGCAGTCACTAATCTTCACCCCCCACTATTAGAGATGCCGCTTTTGTCCCCATTCACCCCAAATAAAAACAAACCCAGGGTTAGATTCAGAGGGACTGGCCCCCAGACTCCTTTCCCA